ACTGGTGTAAAGGTCAGGTCTCAAATTTAACAGGTAAACAGCCACGATATTAGACTCAGTTATGAGGCACATATATAGGTCTAGACACTTTTTATTAGACAGGTTTAAAATGTTAAGAGCCATAGTTTTTTATATTTTATGCACTGGTATTTCTTTTACAATTGTATGTCTATTATATCTTCTGTCATTTAAAAGAAAATATATAGGCAAATGGTAAAAAAGGGAATTTGTTTTGTCACCAGATATAGCTTTTTTGAGTCTATGGTGCTTTTATGCAGAAATAGACAGAAATGGGCAGTTCAGGACATCTGAGTAAAGGTCTCCTTTCAGAGAAGAAAAATGACAAACTGCACATTTCCTGGCTTGACAAGTGTTTATCCATTTGCCCCATTGATGTATTGTGTTGTATACCACTTAACGCAGAAGGGTTTTAGTATTCATCAACACATATTGAAACTCTTAAATCAAACAGAATTGCAGGGAGGTGTTTGAGTGGATTGACAAACTGCATACCCTAAATGTACACTCAATTTATCACAGCAGTTCATCATTAGAGAGGAGCATCACTTGTATTCTGCATTGTTTGGGGGAAAACATAATGAGGGTGCTCATCATTTTCATTTTGGCCATAATTGTTTTCACATTTTAAATCACAAATAACCCATTAATGCTAATCAGGAGAGCACTAACAATCATTCTTCTAGAGCAGGGGTGGGGAACCTTTTTCCTCTCAAGGGCCATTTCAATTTTTTCAACATCCTCCGAGGGCCGTACAAATGATTGACCTGTGCTTAAAAAACTAAAATCACAGCCCATTCATTTGGCCTTTCTTTCATGCTGTGCAAAGAAAAAGCAACCTCTTAATCCAGATATCTTACCATGACTCGCGTATGCATGCACGTGCACGGTTGTGGCTTGACCACCAAAACAGAAAGATATGGACACAAGATGTGTGCAAATGTATTTGGTTTCATATCCATGTGGAAATGAGGGGGACCTAACCTCCTCTAGGGGGGTCCGGAAGGTTTTTTTTTTAAATGTTGAAGTTAAAAGCATCAATCTGGTGCACTTTGAGAGCAACATTAAGATATCTATGGATACATCTCTCAACACCCAGATTAAACAGAACTGCAAGCATTTATTTTTCTTTATGGATATTTTACAAATCACTCCCCTTTTAAACTGTATTTTTTATTTTTTTTTATTTTAGTGTCATATAGCATTTTATATAGTAGTTTACTTTATTCTCTTATTTTTTTATAACTATAATGATCATATAAAGATGTGCCTTTACCTCACTGGTTGGAGAAAAAGCTTCTTATATTCGTTAGCATAGCTAGCTAACCAGATGCTAATAACAACAAAGTTATTGACAGATGAACAGATCGCCACTGGCTTTCAACTAAAGACACAGCCACGCAGAAACTGCGGCATGTGTATGGCTCCTTATGGGTTCTGCAATTTTTGAAGGGCCGGAGCCGCGTTCTGGTGCTCTCCGTCAGAACTACACCCCTGTCAGACGAGACATATACCACGTGATGACACGTTAGGCTCGTGTTGTGTTCAAGGACCCTAACCTTGGCCAGGAAAAACAGGTACTCGCTTGTTTAATTATTTTGCGGTCTAGATTTCTTACATTTTTTTCTTTTTTGCGTGTGTTTATAAATTATCTCGAGGGCCGTACCAAATTGTCTCGCGGGCCGTATACGGCCCGGGGGCCGGAGGTTCCCCACTCCTGTTCTAGAGCAATTGTTACTGAAGAGGGAAAGCAGGCTCTGCTCCATTAAAAAAGTAATGCATCACTCAGTGTGTGGTGACATAGTCACACTGAAATATTTTGTTTGTATTTCAGCGTTGCCTGACAGTTGTAAACCAGAATGTGTGCCAAAAATATATCTGCGATCAAAGGTGACTGCCATCATTTCAAAAAACAACATGAACTGTTATTTATCCAAATGCTTAAATAATGTATGTCTACCTTTCCCGGCCAACCAACCTTTTGTGGTTGTGAAAATAATAACTCTCTCTTCTCCGAAACAAAGGTGGAAATAGCATAGTGCTGTTTAAATATCACAACACTACTTAGGGAGGAGGCTGGTCGCTGGTTGGGTGTATTAAAGGTCTCCTATTATGCCATTTTTAGGCATATATTATGGGTCTCAGATATATAAAAAACATGTCTATGATGTGTTTTGCTCAAAATACCAAACAGATCATGCATTTTAGACATCCCTATTATCCCTCTATTTCAGCCCTGTTAGAGAATGGCTGATCTGGGTCCTTAGCTTGAAGAAAAGAAGAGGGGGAGCTTGTGCCTGCTCAGAATTCTACCAAGATACTCATGCTCCCGTGATTAAACGCCATCATGTTCCAAACCACGTCAAGGATTATTTCTGAAACAGTAGGGAGCTCAAATGCTTTTTCTCTTGCGGGTTTATCACAAGGTGAGTTCTTTTTTTAATTTCCTGCTTTTTTACACAGACTCTCTCCAGTACAGGTTAGCTCTGAGTGTTAGCAATGCTTGCTAATGTAAACAAAGACCACATTACGTCCAAAACACTTGGGCATTGTTTCTGATAGCAACGTTTCTGATAGCAACGTTTCTGATAGCGCCGTGGGTCCACATTTCCAATATTACGTCATATCAGACGCAAATCTGGATCAGCTCCATTGTACCCCCGTTTTTTAGAGATGTGGGTACGGAGGAAAAGAGAGAGGGTTTTGTTTTCTGACACTTTGTGAGTTCCCTGACACACCGGGGACACATATTTATGTATAAAAGACATCAAAAGTGAATTTTGCATGATAGGTTCCCTTTAAGTGACTGACCCTAACACCAGAAACCCTGGCTTGCATGTTGAATCTTTAACACTTGTAAACCTTAACCAGCTTACCTTTACACCTTATTCACAGAGGCTGAATACTGGATCATTTGAAAACGCACTGACAAAGGCCTGCCTGTCACATTTTAAAATCAGCTTTACCGATTTTGGCTTTGGCTACAAAACAGTAATGCAAACCACAACAATCTAGCATCCACTGCACTGCCATTTGGACTCTTGATCACTTTTAAAAATAAATCACTGAATTTATCTTTCTGCTTATGTAATTGGGATAAGACCCTCATGCAGAGTGTTGTTTCCTGACAAAAAAGTATATTGATTTACATTCCTAAGCCCCATGGGCGGTTCTAGGGGGGGCAGGGGGGGCCAGTGCCCCCCCCCAACACTGACCTCTGACCCCCCTGTGGCCCCCATAACAATGAAAAGTGTTTTATTTATTTTTTTTAATATATATTTTCTGGTACTGGGTTTGCCAAAAACCGCAGGATTGTGTTGCTGTAATGTGAAATTGTGCAGACACCCTTATGTAAAGTAGAGATGTAACTGTTCATTGCCTTTATTTTTATATAAATATGGTGTTAGTGCAAACATTGCACTATAACTTAAGCTGAAGCTAACAGTAATAACTAAGATCTATCTGAAATAAATAAGTGTACTGAAACAAATACCAATAACTGTATTGCATTGTTTTCTTATGCGCAATTACTTCATACTGTCTAGTTCTCTTTTTTATCCTGCATTTATTGTGCCCCCCTCAGAAAATAACTGGCCCCCCAGTGGCCCCCCCAGTCAAATTGGTCTAGAACCGCCACTGCTAAGCCCCTATTTCCACCTGTGCAGTTGAGATATAAGGGACTATTTATTTTTCCTTTTTTTCTCTCTATAAGGGGGCGAGGGCATTCTGTTAGACATGAGTCATTTTCTCATGTTTTCTGTCTATTTTATTCACCACAATATGCAAATTACCTGCAGCTCAATAATATTGCATCTGATTTTGTCTATGACATGAATTGTATATTTAAAAATGATTTGAGAAGAAGTAAGTGAACAAAATATTATTGTGGTTTCTTCAGTAGATTACATTTAGCATCCCCAGACAACCCTTTGCAGTCTGGAGTCCTTGAATGTTAGATAAACTGGGATGAGAGTTGAAATGAATTATTTGACATTTTCAGTATGCCACTGTGGATAAGAATAGACTGTGGTTTTGAGAAATAAACTTTGTAATGCTAGGTAAGGCCAATAATAAAATGTATATTATAAGGTCAGGAAAGTATTTTGTTTTTGATAAATAGTAATGTCTATAATTACATGTTAATGGGATACAGTCGCTGGTATCAAGCATGAACAATATGTGCCTCCATATATTGTACCACCCTGGCACCCACAACCCTATTCCCTGCTTGGCTGCATACATGGCACACTAATTCCTGCTAGTCACTGAATTCACAGATGTAAAGTGAGATGTTAGTGAGACCGGCTCCAGTTGACCAGAATGCATTGCAGTCTGCTCTTCTATAAAATACAGATCACACAGTTGCATTTTCTGGCCACTTAATCTGCCACAGACTTTAGTTCAATTTAGCCCATGCACATTTGAGAAAGCTGAATTTATGGCATTAAGGGTAGAAATATTGTGGGTTATGTTTAAAAACTGTGTTAAATGTACAAGTTTGTGGTTGGATTGCTCACACCAAAGTCCTCATTAAAGTGCTTATTCAATGGCAACTGCACTTGCATATATTGTATAACAGGGCTGATTGGTTCTTCACACCTTTTTTATTATGTTATATTTACTCACAAAACAAGGCCTTTTATAATAAGGTATACTTTGCTGGGTGTCACCCCCCTTCTGAGTTTTTGACGACTGAAAGAGGCTTACATAATTTCAATTTTGCCCATGATTTATTGATTTCTCTATCTTGAGGAAATGTTCAGGGTACAGCCACAGGCAACATGTCTGGGGCTGCATATATGTTTATTCTATAGAGGCTGCCTCCAACTCACTTCATTTTCTGATAGGAGGGACTGTTCTCGCTTGACTGAACACGACATTTTGGATGTGTGATGGGTCCGGGTGACAAAGCTCATGATCCGGTCAGTCCGGTGTGTCGGCTGTCTTTCACCGGGTTGCTGCAGCACGTTGGATGGATGAGAAATTGCGTGGCTGTGATTGGCCAGGCACTCGGCTCCCAGCAGGTGAATAGGCTCCCATACTAGTCATTACTGTTGCTCCGCTTCACAAGCCCATGAACACCACTGGGCAAAGTGTCCGCCTCTCCTCGGACTTGGAATTCATATAACATTATCCAAAGCGGCGGATCGCACCATGGATGCTACTATTATTCAGATAATATTCGGGGAGCTAGGGGACCTTAATTGTAGTTTAGTAGATGCTCTCCAAGACACTTTTTTGGGGAACGCTTCATTGTCCTTGCTGAGCACTGATGGTAAGATGGAATTTCTTCCCGTTTTCTTGTCAATTATTCAGAGGTCTTGGATACCGGAAAGTATTTAAGCTTCCGCGTTTTTTATTCTACTTTATTTCCCCCCTAAGGTTTTTTTTGCAATGCCACAACCGATGAGATTGGAACATGCTGGCCGCGGAGCAGCACCGGGAGGATTGTGGAGAGACCCTGCCCTGAGTACATCAACGGGGTGAAGTACAACACAACCAGTAAGACATTAATCCGTGATGGCAACAGTTATTTATATGGATACCATTTTTTTTTTTTTGCACGTACATGATATTGCATTAAAAATCCTCCCATATGTGCTGGATCAAATCAAAAAATGCAATGTCTGCTCCTATAAGCAAACACACTCAGCAAACAAACTCTGTGTGTTATGCACTGTATGATGTTGGATGTGAAATTTGGTCGAGAGCAGTGGTGAGTGACAGTGAATCTCAATAATGATCATTACACCTTGAGTCACTGCAACAGCTGCATCACATGAGCATGTGTGCTGTTTGCTTAGGAAAAATATATCTAAAAGCCCTTGAAAATCATTCAAATGTGACGTGATTACATTTATAATTCTCTAATTTGATCGTTTCATCAGATTGTGTACCATGCCAAACTTGCTCTTGTGATCATTCTATAGCAGTTTGCAGTTGAGTTTGAGAACATTTATATTTTCAAAATACTGTGAAAAATGAATTTTCAGTATTTATCAATAAACTGACACAGAAGAGAGAATTAAATTAAATTAAACCTTTGCGGGCTGTTATGGAAGACAGATCGAGTTGACCAGAATGCATTGCAATCTGCTCATATAGGATTGTCGGCTATTGGCAGCTTCATTTTCTGGCCACTTAATCTTCCACAGAGTACACAAGGTCCTTGGTGGACACATATGTTTTTCTGAACATGAACATTTTAGAAGCTTAATTTATGGCATTAAAACGTACCCATGACCACACCTGTCACCATCGAGCCATCAGCCTATTTGTTGTGATCGTGACCAGATGGAAATCCAATGGTGTGTTCAAATGAATTTGTAGTTTCTGGTTTGAAGTCAGCACGCAGCTGATGTCAGCTTCACCTCCACATTAAGTCTTGACACCAAGTTGCAGCCAAAGTCACTGGAACTATATACAAAGATAATTTTGAATTTTAAACAATAAGCTTAAGAGAGGTTTTATTATCAGCTGGCTTGAAAGACTGAGCAATTCTAAACCCAGTCTGTTTCAGCCAACAGTTTCACCAAGTGCTGAGAACATATCACAACTCTCCATGTCACCAGCAGTGTCACGTTATGTAACTTGTGTATTAATCATGAGAGTGATGAACCTAATTGACACATTCAGAGAATTAAATTGCAGCTTTAATTTCAGTAAATAACATCCAAAAATATCAAAGCAAAAAGGGTGCAGGTGACAGTTTGAGAGTGCATGTCCGAGGCTATAGTTCTCATTTAACAAGCTTGTTATCACTTTAATAAGCTCATGTGCCCGTTGCTATAAACTACTTATCCCCACCACACACACACACACACACACACACACACACACACACACACACACACACACACACACACACACACACACACACACACACACACACACACACACACACACACACACACACACACACACACACACACACACACACACACACAACACACACACACACACACACACACACACACACACACACACACACACACACACACACACACACACACACACACACACACACACACACACACACACACACACACACACACACACACACACACACACACACACACACACACACACACACACACACACACACACACACGCACGCAAACCCTGTAGTATACCTAGTCACCTCTTACTGCATTGATTCCCCCTTTGCTCTGCTGCTGTTTCTACATATTGTTTGGCGTGTCTGGTGGTTAATTTCCCTTGGTGTGAAATGTGCAGCCATTTGCCATGACATCATATGCCAACACCTGCTCTGATGTATACCTTCATTAGTTGACCCCCCCCCGAGGATCGATGTGAATTAATATTTTTTACAGGCTGAGGATATATTGTGGCAAATTTGCAGTTGTTAAAAATGTTGGTCAAATGTATCTCACCATCAAACAATGGGCCTGTCAAATGCAACATAATGGCATTTTTGTTTGCTGGAGGTGATGACATAATTAGCTCCTGCTATTTGAAATGGATTTGATCAAAGAGTATGCGAATGAAAGAAAAAACAAGCTCTTTTATGGAAATTAAGTCACATTGTTGCACAGATTGCAGCTCTGAGGTGGAATGATGCAGGTGACAGATGTTTTTGTTCCTTTGTGTCAGGCCCACGAGTAAAGTAATTATTATTATTAAAAGTGTCAACTTACTTTTACCACATTTGGACTGTGAACTGAGAACACATTTTATTTTGCTTGTCCATTAGAGCTCTCAATGTCATTGCGTTTTCCATGGACCACTATGGAAGTGGTTTCAGACAGGGAGCAAAGTGATTTCACAGTTTGTCCACTTTGCAGACAATCAGACATAACTGAAAGTATTTTACAGCTTGTTTCACACACTGATAGCAGTGTTGGGACTTTCAGCTGTCCAACTGTAGCGGAAGATTATAGACTTTTGCTACATGTTTTTCTGTGTCAGAGCCACTGAGGCAGGCTTGATCGGTTTAGCTGTGTGGGATCGATTGTCTTATATTAAAAACACAGGAATCTCACAGGAATTTTAAGAAGCTGTTGAGAATTTAGTCCATGGAGCAGTTTAATGAACTTTTTATTGAGCGAGCGTTAGAGTCTCTTTCACTAGCAGGAACCACGCCACAACAGTGTGATGTTTGTAAGTTTATTGAAGTAACATGTGAATGATATGAGGGGGGTGAAGGGATGATCTGGGAGGACGAGCTGTGGTCCGTGCAGTGGGAGACTCAGAGTGGGGGTTCCGTCTCCGGCATGATCTGCGTGGGCTGATTACGGGCCCCCAGACAATACCTGGGATTAAAATGTTAGTATATGCATTATATAAATATGCACAGTTTAAATATAAATGTTGACGGGCAGAGGATGTTGGGATGAAGGGATGAGGGATGGAGGGATGGAGGGATGAAGGGATGAGGGATGTAGGGATGAGGGATGTAGGGATGAGGGATGTTGGGATGAAGGATGTTGGGATGAAGAGATGTAGGGATGAGGGATGTTGGGATGAAGGATGTTGGGATGAAGGATGTAGGGATGTTGGGATGAAGGGATGAGGGATGGAGGGATGAAGGGATGAGGGATGTTGGGATGAAGGGATGAGGGATGGAGGGATGAAGGGGATGAGGGATGTCGGGATGAGGGATGTAGGGATGAGGGATGTTGGGATGAAGGATGTTGGGATGAAGAGATGTAGGGATGAGGGATGTTGGGATGAAGGATGTTGGGATGAAGGGATGGAGGGATGAGGGATGTAGGGATGAGGGATGTTGGGATGTTGGGATGAGGGAAGTTGGGATGAAGGGATGAGGGCTGTAGGGATGAGGGATGAAGGGATGTAGGGATGAGGGATGTAGGGATGAGGGATGAAGGGATGGAGGGATGAGGGATGTTGGGATGAAGGGATGAGGGATGTTGGGATGAAGGATGAGGGATGTTGGGATGAAGGGATGAAGGGATGAGGGATGAGGGATGAAGGGATGAGGGATGGAGGGATGGAGGGATGGGGGGCTGTAGGGATGTTGAGGGAGGGAAGAAGGGATGGATGGATGTATTGCTCGGTGTGAGTCGGAAGGGGAACTGTATGGGTAGAAGGGAGAGGGAGGGTGGGTTGAAAGGATGGAGACAAGCAGTGGCCGGAAGTTTTGCCGGATATAAATAGGGGTGGCCGTGGTTCGAGGCGGAGTTTTAGGCGTGGCCATGCTCCTGAACCTATGTTAACAATTTAACCTCATATAGATTATGGCAGCGATGCATACAGGTCTTTATGAGAGTTTGATGGGATTGCAGTGTTTGAAACATTGTATGCCTTCCTTACTGCATGTGTTGTGCTAATGTGTCTTAGGCACTTACAGTAGTGGAAGGGAGGTTTAAAGAGGAGTCTGAGTTACTGGAATAGTTAAACATTTTTGGAAATAGATGTGTTCACCTAGTTCAAAACAGATGGCCATACATCCTGCAAACAGCTGTATGGAATAACCACACATCATTTAATTCCATATTTCAGATCAAAGTGGACCTTTAAACATTATTCTCCACTATTGTTAGGCACAGTTTGCGCTGTTCTGGGCTGTATTGTATTCTGCGTTAATGGAGCTTAAAGGTTGGAGAAACTTACGACTGTAAGGGCGACCAGTTTGTTAATCACATTGAACTGAAAGATATGAAAAAGAAAATCTTTGAATCGTATTGCATACAATTATTTCAAGTTACAATGTGTTATTTATTATCAATTTAGATAATCATCTTTTCATTTAATTCCCTTATATCTCAATATGTAAGTTTTATATGTTCATTTAAACATGATATGAATTAATAGATAGACTTTCAAGTTCATATTTAACCATCTCCTGAGCAAAAAGGAGCATATTTGATTAAAGTCCCCAGCTAAAATTGTCCATGTTATATTTCAAGGACATCCAGTCTGCTATATTCACTGTATTAGTGTGAATGTATAAGTGGGATAGTATTAGCGTTTACAAAACTCTTTCATGCAAAATTCATACTTAAGTCACAGTATGCTGCATGGTTTTACAACAAAGTGACATGGGCGCTGAGACAATGGAAGCCAGTGTTTTGATTCTGCTGTGTCACATTAGCAGCACCATTTTCATCCACTGACACATTCAAGTTAAAAAATCTCGAAATAGGTCAGACCAAAAATAGAAGTGTGGCCTGAAATCACATGGGCAGGTGTTAATAGAGGGTTGCAATTAAACACAGAGTCTAAAATCAGAAACATCATCTGATGTAAAGCAATAGCACACTGTTTTGCGGGCAAAGAAAGCCTGAGTGGCGTGTGTGGACAGAGTCTAATTTTGGCCACATAGAGTATCTGACCAAAGGGACTAACAATAGACTATTTTCCATTTCTTGGAGTGTCTCACAACTAAACATTTAATGGGCCTGCATATTTGAAAGGCATGACCCAGGGTGTACTATGTTATATTCTAAGAAAAGCCCCTACTGTATGCGTTGTACTCCCAGTTGTTGAACACTGGAGAATATAAATGCTATCTTGTGTGT